CATGATGTATCTCGCTGCATTGCGCGAGTACGCTTCTAGTTATCTTATAAAACATTTGGCTAAAATTCTTAAAAACTCTTACTAGAAGAGTACTTGCGCAATGCAGCGAGACAAATCTCGATTTTAATGTTATATCTATATTATATTATAAAGCATTTGATAAAAACTTTTAAAAACTATTATTTATGCATGAAACACTTTTATTAATGCATATTATTTAAAATATAATATTACAAGTAAATTGTGTTTAAATACAACTTATTAAAGCTCCATATCTGAATTCGTGTAACTAACTGCAGATAAACAAAATCAAATTCAGGATTAACATCTCATTTTAAAAATAAAAAATCTAAACATAATTAGGATAATCATTGAGTTCTAACAAAATACTTAATTATTATCTTTATAAAATGTTATATTATTAATACAAAAATAAATTATTTCGTTATTAAACTTAAATTAAATTATAATAAAAAAAATTAAAGAAATTACATAAAAAATGAGACCAAGTATAACTTATTAAAGCTTCATATCTGAATTCGTGTAACTAACTGCAAATAAACATAATTAAATACAGAATAAACATATCATTTTAAATATAAAAAATCTAAATATAATTAAGATAATCATTGAGTTCTAACAGAATACTTAATTATTATCTTTATAAAATGTTATATTATTAATACAAAAATAAATTATTTCGTTATTAAACTTAAATTAAATTATAATAAAAAAAATTAAAGAAATTACATAAAAAATGAGACCAAGTATAACTTATTAAAGCTTCATATCTGAATTCGTGTAACTAACTGCAAATAAACATAATTAAATACAGAATAAACATATCATTTTAAATATAAAAAATCTAAATGTAATTAAGATAATCATTGAGTTCTAACAGAATACTTAATTATTATCTTTATAAAATGTTATATTATTAATCCAAAAATAAATTATTTCGTTCTTAAACTTAAATTAAATTATAATAAAAAAAATTAAAGAAATTACATGAAAAATGAAAGCTTTTAAATAGTTGATTTGATATTAACAGTGATATATATATTTTTAAATTTTTATGATATCTTCAAATTTACATTTTATTCAAAACTAAAATCATTATTACTTTCTTAAAAACACATAAAACTGTATTATAATATCGACAAAGACAAATAATAAAATAGAATATTAAAATCGAGATGTGTCTCGCTCTATTGTGCAAGTACTCTTCTAATTTATAAAAATAACAACCTAATATAAATTAAAATGTTGAAGAAATAAAAAAATAAAAAAAATGAATTTATATGTTTGGATTATTTAAAAAATTAATAAATAAAATAAGAATGGTTAATTTCGCAAGAAAAAGGCTATCCAAGGTCCATAGTACTCGGTATGATCCGCAAATTCAGAAAGGCATACTCATCTCATCTCCTCATATATCCATTTCTTAATATCTTCCTATAAATGTGCTGTGTTTTCTTCACTTTTGTGGAAGTTCGATAATGGCGGGCGGAGGATTTGTGGATGGACATGGCGGAGCAAGGGCGGAGCAGTACGAGTATAACATCACTTGGTATTTTGTTTTTGCTTGCATCGTTGCTGCTCTCGGTGGTTCTTTATTCGGCTATGATCTCGGTGTCTCCGGTTAGTCTCTCTCATCTCCTTTTTTTCTTTCTCTTCTAATTCAGGTTTGTTTGATGAGATTTCTGTGATTCAGGCAAAAAGGCCATATACGTGTGTGGCTTGATTTCATTATTTGTTTTTTGGATTTTTCTGATTTTGATTTTTTCTATTGGCTTGTATTTTTGTGCTTCCCTAAAGCTGTATTCTCTGTATATGATTTATTGTCAGACATAAGCTGCAGGTTGTTGTTTTCACTGTAAATTTATAAAATATTCATATCGAACAACACTCGATCTTCCTGGGTGTTTCATTCATAATCAGATCCTATTTCATTCTCATTATGAACATCTTACTATAAATACATTTTTAGCCGATTCAAAATTGATGCCACATATTTTAGTAATGCTTCAATTTATGATCTGTTTAAGTCGACCTAAAATGCATGATGCAATTTCTTCTTGGATTTCTGTTCAAATAATTTCTGATTCCAGTAATTCTTACAAGTGGGTGTTGGATTAGTTTTGAATCACATGATTCCATTATTTTAGGTATTTTTTCTCTTATCAATAATCATTGTATTTGTGTTTATGAAAACCATCTTAAACTTTCAAACTGATGATTCTATTATGTTCTTTGATTTAAAGTTGTTTTATCAAAATCTCTTGTTCATACTTGGTATCTGTACAGAAAGACAAAGATATTGTTTTCTCAGCATCAAGGAAATCTTTTGTTTTAAAAATTGGAGTTATCAATAACCGCATTTATTGCGTTTGATTTTAAGTTCTAAACAATTATTGTGGTTGCGAAAATTGGTCAAGAAATTTCTAAATATAATGTTCTTTAGAGTTCTATAATTAGAATAGTCTTTTGAAGTTATCAATCAAGATCTGGAAATTTCGGTAAGTTCATTATATATATGAACTTTATTCCTTTTCCAAAATTGGGAAGGAAAAAAAGGGAACAAAGTGCGTCCAGAGTTTAATTTCTGGTATATAAATATTATATATATATATATGTGTGTGTGAGAGAGAGTTATTATGCAATCATTTATATTTATATAATCAATACAACTCTATCTTAATCGTGTATTTAATTTGATGAATATATGATTTCATAAAAGTTTTAATTGTTTTATGATATAAAATATTGATCATAATAAATAAATTTTTATCATTTTCATAAATATCTCAATTAATTAGGTTGTATAAAATTTATTATCAAGAGCACGAAATTTTAGCAAGAGGTTTTGTGGTCGGTAACCTCTTTTGGACACAGTGCAACTGTATATGCATGGAGTACAACCCCAACAACATTTCGTCTTGTTTTGATATAACTGCCTTTCTGCCTGCGATTGTTTTATTAATCTTATTTGGCAAAAAAGAACTTTTAGAGTAATCAATGAAAGTTAAAGATTGTTATGCTAAGGATTGTTCTTGTCTACTTTGTTAAAGGTTGCTGCGTGTTTATTTACATTACAAAATCTTACCTTACTCTGATACTTTAAAAGCCATAATTTTTAGGACTTCTATAAAATCTGTGACATTTTTTTGTCAAACATATCCTTTTTCTAGATGATTTATTTGTCTTCTGAAGTCCAGATTACTGTCTTTAATTCTTGAAAATGATGAACAATTCCCCTTTTGGTCATGTATAAATACAACTACCATTGGCTTTCAGGTGGAGTGACTTCTATGGATTATTTCTTGAAGGAGTTCTTTCATGAAGTTTATCAAAGAAAACAAGAACGTCTCAAGGAAACCGATTACTGCAAATATGACAATCAGATCCTTACCCTCTTTACGTCATCTCTTTATTTTGCGGCCCTTCTTTCTACGTTTGCAGCATCCCATGTTACCCGGAACAAAGGTAGAAGAGCCAGCATTCTTTTCGGAGCAATCAGCTTCTTTGTTGGTGCAATTCTAAATGCTTTCGCACAGAATATTGCCATGCTTATCATAGGCCGATGCTTCCTTGGTGTTGGCATCGGATTTGGAAACCAAGTAAGCTCCTTTTCACCATTTTCAACACTTCATAGATAGTATATCTTGACATGTTATGAATCCTAATCAAATGGAACTGCCAATTAAGAGGTTCAATGGGGATCTCATTGATTTTTGGGAACTCCTTATTCATCTTACTATTGAGACTTGGGTGTGCTTGTGTCAGACCAAACTCTTGTTAAAATTCCAAGAAAACTAGTAATAATTAACAAACTCCATAATGGTTTTGAGTTTCGAAGCCACAAGATTCAACCTCAAAGATCATAAGTTGTTACTAATTTCTTGTTCCTGTGAAAACTTACAGGCAGTTCCTCTATATCTCTCAGAAATGGCACCTGCAAAGATCAGAGGTGCAGTAAATCAATTGTTCCAGCTAACAACTTGTTTGGGAATATTCATAGCCAACTTTATAAACAACGCAACTGAGAAATATAAATGGGGATGGAGATTATCACTCGGTTTAGCCACAGTTCCAGCAACGCTAATGTTTGTTGGTGGACTATTCTTACCCGAAACACCAAACAGTCTAGTGGAACAAGGAAGACTGGAAGAAGGAAGGAAAGTGTTGGAAAGAGTTAGAGGTACAACAAAAGTAGAGGCAGAGTTTCAGGATCTTGTTGAAGCAAGCGAAACTGCTAAAGCGATAAAACATCCTTTTAGAAACCTGCTGCAGAGGAAGAATCGTCCGCAGTTGGTTATAGGAGCTTTGGGAATACCTGCATTTCAACAACTCACTGGGATGAACTCTGTGTTGTTCTACGCGCCTGTGATCTTTCAGAGTTTGGGATTTGGTTCAGGTGCAGCACTTTGGTCTTCCACCATCACTACTGGTGCTCTTGTTCTCGCTACATTGATATCAATGGCTTTTGTTGATAAGTTTGGCAGAAGATTCTTCTTCTTGGAAGCTGGTATTGAAATGATCTGCTGCATGGTAATTCTTCTCTCTAATTAATTTGCTATATCAAGAACACAAAAAAGATCACTCCTTTTTTTACTAGAAGGTCAGAAAACATACTCTTTGCAGACTGCAATGCCTTTTTACCTCTTTGTAGAGAAAGAAAAGACAACCTTTTGCTCCAAGTCTCATCCTCTATCCTTAATTTTGGAAATTCTAGAAAATGGATGATGATTATATGGGTCGAATACAAATAGAATACCTTTTGAATTACTTTCCCTTTTCAAAAATAACTTGTATCCCCTTCCCAAACACTTATAGTTGTAACCTTGAGGGCTAGCTCAACTGGTAAATATAGGTCTTGGGGCGCCTCCCTGGCTATTATCTTTAGGGCCCATGTGATTAGTTAAGGTGTGTGCAGGTTGGCCTGAAAACCCATAGTTAACCAAATTAAGTTGTGTGTATGTGTGTGTGCACATTTTACTAGTTCTAAAAGCTTATACAACATGCTTGTGATCTTTGCAGATAGCTGTGGCTGTAACGCTAGCCCTAAAATTTGGGCAAGGTGAGGAGCTCCCAAAAGGAATTGGCATCTTTCTTGTAGTTGTGATCAGCCTTTTCGTTCTAGGGTACGGGAGGTCGTGGGGTCCGCTAGGATGGCTAGTCCCAAGTGAGATATTCCCATTGGAAACAAGATCAGCTGGGCAGAGTATTGTGGTTTGTGTTAACATGTTCTTTACAGCTTTGGTTGCACAATGCTTTCTGGTATCGCTCTGCCATCTTAAATACGGCATCTTCTTGCTATTTGGCGGTTTGATTGTCGTGATGACCATATTCATCTTCTTTCTATTGCCTGAAACAAAACAAGTTCCAATTGAAGAGATACATCTGCTATGGCAAAACCATTGGTTTTGGAAAAGGTATTGTGTACCTGAGGATGAACCACAAGTAGAAAGGAAGTTAGAACAACAGGTCTAGAATTCCATTGATGTTAGGTGTTTGTTTTTCTTGCATGCTCATTGTGAACAAGTAGTGAAAATTTCACCAAAAATGTGCATAAATTATGAATATTATATTTGTGAATGAATCTTTTGAGATGAGTTTTTTTGGACAAGAAAATGGTATATGCTTCTTGCACACCTTTTTTACTAGTTCTGAAAGCTTAAAACAAGAAGCCTGTGATCTTGTCTTTCTGGTGTCTATGGCTATAATTCAAGCCTCAGAATGTGAATATATTTATGGGTTTATAAAGCCCTTAGTAAGAGCTTTGTCATGATATATGACACACATAGATGTTGCATCTCAAGTCATTTCTTTTCGTAACTGCACAAGCAAAAAGGGTTTTTTTTTTTTTTTTTTTTTTTTGACTTTTTTCACATTTCTATGAGATCAATAAGCTTTACGACAAGCTCTGCAGTAAGCACCATTGTGGATGCTCTTATCTAGCTCAAGGTCTCGGTTGTTAAAAATATAAATTGGTCCCCTTGTTCGCAACATAAGCTTCAATTTAGTCCCAATCACACACAAAATCATCAATAAAGGTAATGAAGTAGCGATGATCATTTCTTGTGACTGAACTGAAAAGACTACATACATCAGTATAAATGACTTCTAACAATTTTGTTTCCTTTTCGGGTTTGCCTTTAAAAGGCGTCTTTGCCATCTTGCCTGATAAGTAAGCTTCACATGTATCATACGAATCATCATATATTTCCATAACTCTGTCGGTCTAGAGTTTGACTATGCGCTTCTTGTTTATATCTCTAAGACGACAACGCCACAAGTAGGTCTGATTTAAGCCCTGCTTAATTCGTTTATTGTTTATGTTATACATTGATTTATAATTACAACTATTTTGCATGTCAATTTCATTAGCACTGTGTGGTTTAGTCATAAAATACAAAGCATTGTTAAGGTAAGTTGAAAATTGAATTATTGTTTGAAATTAAACATAAATCCAGTTAGTTGTAATTGAGAAAATGAAACTATATTTCTAGTAATATTAGGTACATATAGACACTTGCTAAGTATTAAAGTAAGACCATTTAAAAGCTTCATATCATATGTCCCTTGAGCAACAACAACTACCTTAACTCCATTGCCCATCTTTAGCTCCATTTGACCTGATTTCATACTCTCTTCACTTCTTAGACCGTGTAAAGGAGTACAAATTTGAGTAACACACCCTGTATCTAATACCCAAGAGTCATAATCAGAAGTAAATAAACCAGTGGTAAACATAACTGAAGCTGCAATTGCAGCAACCTTCTGTTTTTTGTTCTCTACTAATAGGGGGCAATTTCTCTTCCAGTGCCCCCTTTCGATGCAACTAAAGCAAATTGCGTTCTCAGGAACCTTTCCTTTGCCCTTGTCTTTATTGGAACTTCCAACTTTAGTCTTTGCCTTAGCAATCACCATCTTTTTCTTAACTATCCCACCTTTAGGTTTGATCAACAAAATCTATTTTGGTTTGGTGAAATCCAACTTGAAATTTATATTTCTCTCAACAATTTTAAGCATGTCGTGAAGCTCTATGAGAGTTTTATCCAGACCATTCATATTGTAGTTCGTAACGAACTGGTCATATGATTTGGACAAAGGATTGAGAACAAGATTGATTCCCAATTCTTCACCCAGTAGGAAGCCAAAACAGGTCAGTCGGTCAATATACTCTTTCATTTTCAAAATGTGGATACTGGCTGATGATCCCTCAGTCATCATACAAGCATGTAACGCCCTAATTGTATCAAACCTCCCCTGTCTGACTTGTAACTGAAACATAGACATTAGTAAGGATATCATATCCCAGACAGTCACATCTTTATGATCCCGCAATAACGTGGGAGTCATGGAGGCAAGAATCAGGCTACTAACATCCAGTGAGTCATTGATATACTTATCATACGTATCCCTGAGTTTAGTTAAAGCATTCCTACTAGGAGCGCTTGGAGGGGGTTCTCTAGAACGTAAAACTTATTTTTATGCCTAAGGACGACCCTTAGGAAGCGAAACTTCAAAATCTCAAATAAACGAATTAATCTTCAAAAATCATTTTATTTTGAGCTAAGATCCATATTTCACCTATTTTCTTAAATGGTCAAATGCACATGTCTATGAAAAAAAAGTTATTTAGGTAAAATTATCCAATTACATTCAATGTAACTCTTAGATGTTCGTGTGGTTCTATTCAATATATCATATGTTGAAATTGAAACGTTTAATCCCACTACAACAACTTTTGAAAATACTCATATATGACCAACACTACTATCTATGAAATTTCTAAGTAAGCTAACCATATACTAAGGTATCGTGATCCCATCTAAATTATTGACTTAAGGATTGTTTGATTGATTTTCCAATAAGCCATGTATTAATTAAGATGACTGTATAGAAAATATGTTTGTATGTATTTAACTTAATATTTATTCAGTAATTATGCAGAATAAACGGTCTTAATGATAAAAATGACTATTTTACCCTTTGATTTACATCAACATTTATAGATCAAACAACATTAATTGTAGATCAAGTTTTACTATACAACATGATGAAAGGAGAACGTAGGGGCTTCAATAGTTCTTTGAGGGGGTGTTTGAGATTGCTTATTTGAAACAACTTATGTTCTTTTACAAAAGTCCTTATCAACTTAGTATAAGTTAGAATGATTTAACTTCTTTAAAAACTCATTATTACCGGTTTGGCACCGGTATAAGCTGTTTATCCAAACACTCAAAAGTGCTTATTACCGGTGCCATGCCGGAATAAGTTAATAAGTTATTTTTATAAGCAATCTCAAACACCCCCTGACTGGAAAGGAGAACCCATGAACAAATCGATGGAGATAGAGAGGAAAATAGGAACAGATCTGCTACAAAACAAATGCATTAAGATAGAGAGAAGAATCAATGAACGATTTGTCCGATGGTGCTTTAAACGGTCGGTGACGGCGAGATTAGGTCTAGAGGGTGGAGGTGACAGGCTTTGAGATTATGATAAAAGGAGGGGCATGGATGGAAAATGAGTGGCTAGATGGGGACAATGCTATTTTATGGTCGACCGAATAAGACAACTTAGACATTAAGTCACAACTGAACACCTTTGTTTGTATGGCTTACTGAATGAGGTATACAAGCTATTTAGTCCATTAAGCTGTAACCAAACAACCCCTTAGGTCTATTGGGGTTCAAAACACAACTATTTAAGCGAGTGATGAAATGCAACTGTTCAATTAAATCTCGTTAATCTGGCGCCTTGTCTGACACCACAATCATCCAGAATGATTGGCTATGCACTGACCATACTGGAATTGGTAAGCTTTGACATACTTTAAATGAGAGGTATATAATTTACATTTGTGAAATGTTTGATTTTAGAAAAATATTCTACTTTTAAAACATTTGATTTTATCTCTAAAATTAAAATCTAGTTTCAAAAGCTCATCCTATTAAAATCAGTTTTATTTGACAACCATATCGATTTTAAAATATCATATTTTGATTACCGATTTAAAATATATTTTGCATTTGATTTTATTTTTAATCCTTTTGCAATTATAACTATGACTAGAAGTAAAAAAAATAAACGTAAGGTTAAAAAATAAATCAACACAACACACATAATATATGGTATAGCCCCTAAATGTCGTGTCGTGGCCAACACGACAACCACAACCAGTCTAAGGACGTCTCCAAACTCCTACTAGCTCTGTCAACTTGGTGGACTTTGAAACCCTGTCTTCACTTTTTGGAACACTGTATTTAGATTTCTTTACAATTTTGAAATAGAAGCTACAACATAATGTATTCTATTTTACAATTGTTACTATCTAAAAATTAAAGTAAAATTACAACCCTTAACAATTTTTACATTATATTAACCAAGATAAAAAACAACCAAACAAACCACGGGTCTTTGGGGCAATACCATATATTATTCAAATTTTAAACATAAAATTTAAAATTGGCCAAACTAAGTAAACATAAATAAATAGGCCAAAAAATCGGAATTAAATAACCAAAAACAGAAAAACTAAAACAATCGGAATGCATTAGTGTTTGACCTGAAATACTCCCCCCTAGGCCCGAAATTCGTCACAACGAGATTTGGCCTTAAAACACGTCTGAAACCCTAACTGTGGGGTCGTTGTGGGTGGTGAACAAAAATGTTGGCCGAAAATACAAGTCGACAATCAATGACACTGGGGTCGTGATTTGAATTGGTACCCAATCACTACAAAGTCGTGGCTCAGACCGGCACCCAATTGGCCCTAGGTCACAACACGGAGCAGCAACATCTGATGCAAGGCCATGTTGTGCTAATAGTAGCCGAAACAACGACCATGGCTTTCATGCAGTGGTCGGCGACACAATAAGCCACAGTACGATTGATCGATAGTTATGGTATGGCTAAGGACCAATCGCAGTGGCGGGGTGAGGATGGACAACGACAACAGATGCTTGGCTCTAGTATGCAACAACACACGGACCAACCCAGAACCAATCGTACATGGCGACGGGCCGGTGGTGGATCACTGCACCAACGATGGTACTTGATAGTGGTCTTGCCGAGGAACTCAGTTGCATGACAGTGACACTCCCAGCCATTCCGGCAGGGAACAAGTAGCATACAGCGACAACTCAGGACAAAAACAACCATTATGCGGCAATAGCATGGATCGTGGTACGGCGATGGTTTGAACAAGGGGACAGCCACTATGCAGCAGCGACTCAAGGTAGCCTCATCTCGCGGCACACGACATGGTGACCGGAGATTGGTTGCCATATTCTGGTTTTTCATTTTTTCTAATCAATTTTCTAATTCCAATTAATTTGTTTTATAGTCAAAGTGGCTCTGATACCACTTTAAGATTTTAAAACAATTTTGTAACCATTAAAACACATAGGAAACCAATTTAGGTCACATCATTTAGAAACTTTTCTAAAATTAAAACCCTTAGTCAGATCCAATGACTATTAAAACAAATTTAAATAAACTATAGGGCGTTTAGAGAGTTTATCTTTTAGATTTGTCGTGGATTCTGGAGGAGCACCTTAGAAATCAATGTAGATTTCTTCAAGTAAATTCACACACGAACAGATTGATATCTTTTATCGGGTGCTACCTCAAAACTCCTAAATCTAAAATATGT